CTTTGTACGGTTCATCTTCGGGATACCAAGGGACGCCTTTGTTTCCCATTTTTATGCAGAGTTGAAGTGGCTTTATCCTTCCTACCATCGTAAATATTTTCTGGCAACCTTCCTCTTTCAAGTTATCCAATCCCACCGTCCTTCATACATCTCTGAGCTACTTCAATTCAAATCATCTGTTCGTTCAAGTAATACTCGTTCCTGTCAATACTCGCTGCTTTCGACAGATCTGTCATTATCCAATCTAATACCATTCCTACCTTTAAATCCCGCCTGTTTAATCATTTCTTATCCATCCAGTCCCCATGAAATTGTAAATAGATACTAATGTAAATATGTATATAAATTATTAGCTCGTTCTTCATTATTTTTACTTCATCCTTTTTTTAAATTTTAATTTTTTTTATTTTTTTATTATTAACTGATTAAAATTAGAAAGTAACTTATAATTTTTAATTTTATTACTATGACTGCTTAATTACGCTGTACCTTTATTTATGTATCTCCGAGGCTCCTTATCCCATATTTATGTCTTTCTGTATTATTCTAAAGGGACCAGAATAAATAAAGTATTATTATTACCTTTTTTATTCTCGCCTTTGCGGATACAAAGCTGAAGGTGGAGGACAAGTCCAACCATCTGCAGTTATAATATTTGTAGATATTAAAAAAATTTCTTGTAATTCTGGCTGTATCCAAGAGAACCGCTTGCTGAGCCTCTCTTTACACATCCAGGGGTAATTCCAAGCCGTCCGTACCTGCCGTTGACTTTGGGATCAGACCATTGGTTGATATTATTATTGGTGTAACCAATACGCTCTCCAAATGGTACAACTCCTTTAATTCGATGGGCAGTTCTTGGTACTTACGGAGCTTCTCTCCCACGGTCGTGCTTATGTTGTTATCGTTTGGAATCGCGATATCAACTAACTTTGCCTTCTTTGCTCCTAAATCTATAATAAGGATATCGGGTCTGTTGTGACGCACTGTATGATCCGTTATTATAGATTCGTCCTAATACATTTTGAGGGAACCCTTCTAAAGCAACCTTATCGGATTATATTTGTAATATGGCACATTTTCATCCAACAGGTTAAGCTTCAGGTTATCAGGTTAAGCCAGAGCCTGGTGAAATATTTTCGCCACATTGTTGTGAATTTGCAGATACTCCGTATCAGCGAGTACTCCACATCCAGCTGTGATATGTCGGATTGATTATTTTTATTTATTTTTATCACTTTAAAAAAAGGTATTTTCCTGGAGTGGGGAAGAATTAACTTCAACCACTTCACGTTAATGTTTGTAGTTTTATTGGGTATTAAGGAAGCTCCTTACTATTCTCGCAGTGTTCAGCACCACAGCTTTCTGGGCTTCATTTATCGTAGCTGTTGATAGGCCTAACTTCTCAGTAGCTTCTACAGTGGATTTTGGAATCAGCCCATTGCTAGAGATCACTAAAGTCCTTACTGTCAATTTGTTCAGTCTGTAGAGATCTTTTAACTCGGCTGCAAGAGTTTGATATTTCCGTATTTTTTCGGCGCAGACTGAGTTGGTGTTCCCATCATTCGGTACAGCGATATCTATTATATCTGCTGTTTTCATATCACTGTTGATCAACACGTTATCAGGTCTGTTACGGAGCACAGTATGATCTGTTATAAAAGATTGATTCCAATACAATTTCATTCCTTCCTTCTGGATAAGTTCTTTAGTTTTGTACTTATAATAAGGTATTGAATCGTTCAATAACTTTATTTTTAGACCAATTGCCTAATGATAAATTTTTGCAACATCGTCATGTCTCTTGAGACATTCTGTACCAGCCAGCGCTCCGCACCCTCCAGTTATGTGCTGAATAGATTCGAACGTGCTGGCACAGAGCCTACACTTGTCTGATACTGCCTGTTGCTTCAAGACATGTCGCAAGTAAGAGCTCGTTGCTATGACCTGATCTTGGATTGCTATCAGAAAGCCCTCTGTCTCGGGAAACAGATTTCCTTTAACCAACCAACTAGTAGAGAATGTTTTATCTATTTCAGTTTGTTGGAGTTGGTGAAAAAAATCTTCCATGTAGGGTTTTTGACTTCCATTCTTCCAGTCAGTCATTGTCCGTGAAAATTACGGATGCAGCATTTTCTGGAGTGGCTAATTGTAATGCTGTGTGTCCGTACTTCACTTCACGAAAGGTACTTCACTTTGTTTGAAGTATTCTCCGAGGTTCATTTCTTGTTTCCGGCACGCCTTTTCAATGTTTGTGAGACCTCTCCCACCTTCTTTTCTTGGTAAATAAAGTCTTGCCATAGATGCAGTCGGGTGATGCTTTCTGTATTTAGTCATACTCGTCCGTATAAATCTATCCAATTCCTGGACTGAAGTTGTAGACCATTTTAAAATTCCAAAACTGTAAGAAATGGCTGGTATAACCCACGTATTCACAGCTTTTATTTTTGAACCTGAGGATAGGTATGTTGTAAGAATAATTTTCAATCTCTTTTTCAACGACTCTACCAGTCTGTTTTTTGCCTCTTTGCTCGCTATTTATTATTATTATAATCACGGGAAACCATCTTCACACCAATAATAATTTTTATTTGATAAATACGGATGCCAAATATTTAAGCAAGTCATTCACCAAATTATCAATTCATTATAACAATAAATATGCGCTGGATGGTTACATTTATTCTGAGATGGGGTTAAAATTCCTACAGATGATGAATGATCCGTCACCAACGGATCCAGGATTAAATTTTTTGGGGCTTCAGTCCAATAGCTTTTTTTAAATATATATATTATGATAATTACTTTGGTAGAAAAAGAAAGAAACTAACCGATATGAAATGGTGTTTAATTGATTCTTGAAGTCCAATTAAATGTAATTAGACGAACAATAATACTTATCTAAATATTTTTCATAAAACGTGGTTATATTTTACCATTTTGGAAAGCTCCAGAAAGAAAGCCCTTCCTCCTCTCCGTAGATCTGCCTGTGGCCCGTGAGTATCCTCGTTCCCGGCCTTTCAGGATGTCTCTTTCAGAGGCGATGGTAGAGGAACTGTGCTCCTAGCTGGTCAACAGCATCACCCTCGGGTGGAGAGGATCTACCGTAAAGAGGGAGTAAACCTTCCTCTAAATCGGGCGGTACCGAGCCGAAGGTAACTGTCCCTCCATGGAGATAATGTATGTAGAGAGGGTGAGTGAGTGACGCCACTACCTGAATATGAATCACCAAGAAACCTTAGATTGGGATTGTCTTAAATGGAAAAGGAGTAACAAACGTCAACGGTATAATGTTGGTTTATGGATATTTTCTGACATTTAATCGATCCGGAGCACTTAATGTTCTGGAGAAAATAGATAAATATAAACTGAACATCACTGCCATCCAGGAGGTAAAAGGTCTAGAAAAGGAATCCAACTGAGTTAGATAGGTTTTAAATTTGAAGAGCAGTCCGGGGTGCCATACCGGGTCAAAAGCCTGTGCTTGTCCAGAAATGCACCCGAACAGTATTGTTTGTATTATTGTTGCAGTATTTTTTAGGGTTGATAATAGTGGAATGTTTCCATAAAAGAGGAAAGTGGATGGCTTGTAGACTTTTATTGTATATTTAAGCCTAACTTGGTTTTGACTTTGAGAATTTTACGAAACCGGCACCTTTACCGTTGTTCAAGCGATTCATCAGCTCGAAGAAGTTCGAGGTGTGCAAATTTCTGAACGTACTGCTCGGAGAAGATTAAATGAGTATGGATCAAAGGATATTCGTCTAGTAAGAGGTCCAGAGTTGACCAGAACTCACAGAGTAACACGGCTGGCTTTTGCTCGAGAACACAGCCATTGGTCTATGGACGAATGGAGTGCTGTATTTTTTACAGATGAGTCAAGATTCGCTCTTCGATCTCCAGACGGGCTTGAAAGGGTGTGGAGAAGAAGTAACGAAAGATATGCAGCCTGTAATTTTTCCCAGAGCCAACCTTTCCAACGTGGTTCCTTATTGGTGTGGGCTGGGATTTCAATGGAGCGCCGCACAGAATTGGTTGTTGTTCGTGGAGGATCTATGACGGTCATTCGCTATGTAGATGAGATTTTGGAACCTGACGTGTTGCCTATCCTCAACGAAATCGGCAATCGTTCTATTCTAATGCACGCCCACATGTCACCCGCATGTGCAGACGTTCCTTCAACAGAACAATATTGATGTTTTAGCCTGGCCATCACGTTCTCCAGATTTGAACCCCATTGAGCATTTATGGGATAACCTCGGAAGACGAATAAGAGCGCGTGCAACACTTCCTGATACACTGCAGGACCTTGAAAGGGCTCTTCGAGTGGAATGGGCTATCCTCCAGCAAAGGGACATTTCCCGACTAGTGGACTTAATATTGAAAAAATTAAAAGCCGGAGACTAAGAAATGTGTTGCAAGAAACTGCACTGAACTAATGATACTGAATAAACATTTTGATTCCATAGAAAGTAAACATTGGAATCTAGAATCATTTCATTGAATTAAGGATTAAGGATTATTGTTCTCTATATTAACATTCCTAATTGAAAAAAACAACAAAAAGATTACCTATTTATTCATTAAAAACAATAGACCAATCCAAAGCAGAAATATTTTTAGATGAAAACATGAAAAAATCAAGTGGGTGGAATTTTTTGCCTGTCAGTGTACATTTATTTAACAATTTTTTACGTTTTCTGAGATTTGAATCTTTGCTGCCATTCCAGATTGCTTTAATTTTCTCATTTACTAGTTTTTATACCTGAAACTTTATTATTTATACCTTATTTTTTTTAAATTTATTTTTAGATATTGTTTATATTTCAATATAAAAATGAAAAAAAAAAAATTATACTTCACATGAAAGACCTAAAATTGACGACCCTGTAAACATAGTTGCAATTTCAAATATGTTTTATACTGGTTTTTATTTTCGAATCCAGAGAGAAAACGTTTATCAGATTCTGACCTCTATATTGAATAACACGTTAGAGGTTGTAACAGTAAACACTACCAGACGTTTCTGGGATAGTTACTTAATTATAGTCTACGCCAATATGATATAAGTAATAATTAGGAGTATCATAATTTTTTGGACAAAATAATTTTCAGAATGATTATTGAAGATCTTAATTATGGATTTATCCAGGTTTAACCATTCTTCGTGCCAATAAAGAAACAAGTATTTAAACCTTTTTAACACCCTAGCTGAATTTATTTGATATTTTGAACACCGTTTCTTATTAACTGTCAAAATAAGCAATCTTTCGTTTTCTTGATGTTAATTGATTAATTGTCTGGTATTTGTTGTTGTTATATTATTCTTTTGGTTTTTGTAAACGTATTCATAAATTGTCTGTTCAATATTTTTTTATGTGCTTTCTTATTTATTATGTACTATAAATTAGCCTCTATTCAATAGTTTTTGATTGATACCCAGGGGATCTTTAAATGGATCAAAATACTGAAATTATTTTGTACACTGAACAGTGTATGCTTTGTACATTGAATTATTTTGTTCTTTATTATTTTATCCTTATTTTCTTTTGATTAATATACAACTTTCATTTCCAGAGTTGATTGGTGTTGTAATATTTTTATATATTAACTGAAATCTTCCTTGGTTATATATATTTAAATTAGTTTCATGATGCTCAAAAGAGAAAATAAAACCAGAACACAATTCTTCTTGATATGATAGACATTTTCCCATCCTATTCACTTGAAATAGTATGTATTCTGATATTTGATTAATTATTTTATCTGACTGGATAATTGTATCTTTTTGAATTCTTATATATTATTGAATTTTAAGAATTCACGAAATCACAATTTTGTATATAAATATGTACGCACACATTTAAAAACCAATACACTCAACAGTTTTATCAAATTTATGTTACTTTTTTATTTTAAAAAAAATTATTTTATGGTAGTTTATGGTTGAGAAAATATTACATTAAGAAATACAATGACAATTTTTATTTTATAGCTGGGCAAAACATAAACACAACTCATCCTTGGACAAAACATACACCTATGAACATAAGGATTATTGTAACTTTTAAAATAAGTTTGGTCTGATTCTTATTGCTAGTAGGAGTGAGAGTTAAAATTTGGTTCAAACATGTTAATATAGTCATCTATAAATTGAAATTATTTCTTTGTATAATTTCACTAAAGCGATAAGAAATCTCCATAGTAGAGTGACAAACTAGTATTTGACTCAGCAATGAAGTAATTTCTGTTCCTGTAATATAAAAACAACTGAAAAGAAGCCCTTTTAATGTTTAGACAGTACTATACACGTCTTATACAGCATTGATATTTATGTATATTTATTTGGAAATGGAATAGTGTGTCTCAAAATGAATTTTAAAGTTCTAAGATATATATATATATATATATATATTTTTTTTTTTCCCTACGTGGTAACCCCACACAAGGATGGTTTATTAGATTTTCCTTCATGCTCCATGCCTTAAAGACATACTACATGAATTACATTTGTTTACAATTGTTTCTTTTCTAGTTTTCTAGTTTTACATGATATACATTTTTAGTTCAAATTTATATACATTAACAAACAAAAATACAAAGAATAAACCCACAAAAATTAAATCAGAAAATTAAATATTAAACACACAAAGTCAATCCAACAAAGGAACAAGAAATCACCCACGCTGTCCATCCCTGGTAAGTAAATCGAAGTCGATAGATCTAATAAATCTAAGAAAGTCTGTCTTGAATTCAGTAAATAACTTTTGTTCCGTCTCAGGCCAATTTCTACTTTTGATAACTATGCTTTTTATTAACTCAAATCGCTGTCTGTCAAATCGTTTACATTCATATATTATATGTTTAAAATTTTGAACCTGTCCGTCTTCATCGCATAAGTCTGTTTGTATAATGTTGAATCTTTTAAGATATTGTTTTATATTCCCATGTTCCGTAAGTACTTGCGTAAGTTTGTAGTCATTACTGTGAATGTGTCTGTAATTGTGAATTGAAATGTGTGGTATAAATCTGTGTAAGCTTGGTGACTTAGCTGAGGTCACCCATATGTGATCCCATCTTTTGAAAGAATCCAACTTTAAATTCATCTTAATATACGATAAAGGAGCTTGATGATACGATGGCGGCAAATCACTTTTAGCTGCTTCTTTTGCAAGGCAATCGGCTCGTTCATTGTTGTCAATCCCACAATGTGCTTTTACCCATTTTAGAGTCACTACTTTCCCTACAGTTCTCATCATTAACAATTTGTTTCTAATTTGGTCAGTCAAGTAATCATGAATGTCCCAATTATTAACAGAGTCTAGTACTTTGTTGTCTGTATTTATAGTAACGTGAGTGTTCGTTTGTAGAGGGTAGTCATATATGTATTCAGTCACCTTTAAAACAGCGAATTTTTCTCCCTGATTATTTGAGCAATATGATTCTAATTTATATTGATGTTCTATATTCCTACCATCTTGAGCTCTGAACAACCATGCACATCCAACATTCTCGCTGTCCTTACTACCATCAGTGAAAACATCAGTATTTTCAGAAGTAATTTTTGGTCCAGTCCATAAACTTGTTGCAGGGTGTAACCAAGATTTACAGTCAGTGATTCTTTCTATTTTATCCAGGGTCAGGTCTTAGTATCCTCTCTTTCCTTTTCTAATGTTATATAAAGTCGTTCGTTCTTCAATCTTCATTTGGATTGGCAACAGCCCTGCCAATAATATTGTGGCCTCGAATGATAGTGTACGATAGCCCTTACATATCTTAATCGCAATTAACCTCTGAAGCCTTTTTAACTTCACCAAATTTTTCTTACGTTCAACGGCCGGATGCCAGACATGCATAGCGTAGAGCATCTTAGGAAGTACAGCAGCTTCATAAATTTCCTTTAACACTTCCGATCTGAGTCCCCATGTCGCTCTTGCAGCCACTAACAGTCCATTTATAATCCTTAAATATATATGGTATAGCTGTTCTCGAAAACAATCAAGAAGACATACAGAAGCTGAGCAAATTGTTTAATCACTATTTCACATCCCCCTGGAAGGATATTGAATAGCTGAAGTCAATAAACCCTGAGGATGGAGAATTAAAAAAAAACAAATAAGACTGAATGAGATCTGTGAACTACACACCCTCTCGAGCATTAAAGGGAAACCTGGGAAAATTTTACTAGTTGACGTCTTCTTACTTGATTCAACCAGTAGCTTGTCAACAGGGTATATTAAATTCAAATCTACTAAACACTTCATGTAAAACCAGCGTATAATTTTCTTTTTGTTTATGATTCCACTCAAATCATGTTAAGAGATCCATCATAGGTATTTTTGTATTTTCTGTTATAGTTTTGCCTCATGCCTGTTGTTTTGTCAGCCTCGTTTGTAGACAACCTTGTTTTTGTAATCTGTTGTTTTTGTCTTTGAAATTTGTTACTTGTATGCTATTAGGTTATGGATTTTTTATAATGTTATATGTTATAGTGGTATCTCTCTTGCTCCATTTAACTGCAAATTTATTGCTGTGGTTTTAAAGGCATATTTTAATTGTTAGATTTTGGTACTCTAGCCCTATCTGAATCTACTTGTTTCCAACCTTACTTCTTCTTCGATTCCTATTAATCCTCTTAGATGTCTGAAAAGAAGATGGCCTAGCGATCTTCTTACTTAAAACTATTTAGGCAGTGCTTCCATCGAATAGTATCTCGACTAGTCTTTTCATGTCATTATTCCTGACTAGTGCATATTTACTGTTTTATTTATTTAATACAGTTGTAAATTTCAATTCATAAATTTTTAAAAAATATTGGTGAGTATTCAGGGTGTCAGATTGCTGTAAAGAGTTTTCATCTGAAAAAGATGAAGACGAAGTGATGGATTGGCTTTTCCTTTTAACTTTGGCCTGTACAAGGTGGTGAAAGACTCTGGAATTCAGACTATTGTTATAATTGTTTGTACAACCATATGGTTCAGGTGCTATGTTGTGGTGATGTCTTAGATATTGTGACGATGTCTCAACCAGCATTGGAGTATGCATTTTTGAATCTTATGAGATTTACTTTATCCATGGGACTCATTATCAATAATGAAGTGAAGATCAAGTATATGTAGACAAGTTTTGGAGAAGATCCTATATTTAGTGTCTGCCCTTACACATTTGAAAAGAAGATGGGATTCATCTACCTCTTATCTTTCGTTATATCCTCTTATGATATTTCTGTGGTAATTAGAAAACAATTACCCGGCTTCAGTGAACCGGTTTTACTTTGGCCTTCTGTAAACAATCTGCGGTAGGCTTCTGAGTTGACAAACAAAACTGACCCTCTTTAAAATTGATCTGCCTTCTCATTTATTCCTCACTGATCTGGACCATCTCAAGGTGCAAAAAAAAACTTAATCGTTAAAAACATTGGGTCCTTGAATTGGTCTAAAGTTGTAGAGGACTGTAGTATTAGAATAGAAAACTCTACAATCTTTTTAAGAAGCTATTTGTGTTCCTGTTCATCAAGCATGGGAGGCTTTGTTGGTCTGATCACTTTGCCAGGATGGATGAAGAATCCACCCTGAGGAGAGAATTGAAGGAGGTGAGGTTTTTCAACGAACAAGAAGAGCTGGCTGGTCGAGATTGAGGTGGGCTGAAGGAGTTTTGGTGGACATAATAAGCCTCTTAGAGATCTAGATCTGGGAGGCTGATGAACTAGACAGAGCCGAATGGTGGAGGCTCATTGAGGAAGCCAAGACCCACCCTGGATTGTAGTGTCATGGTGATAGAATTAAGCTGTCAGTTGCAGAATACTTTATTTAATTATAAATTAATAAATTATGTAACAGTAATCCAAATGGATTTGTGACCCTCTGCTAACAATTTTAAAATTAATTTTGTCATGAGCTTAATTTTATATATATTCAATGCGCTTTGAAATTCATGAAAAACATGATCAGTTACAAAAATAAATTAATGAAATAATATCTTAAAATTTGTATAGCTGCATATCAATTATCCATTTATTTTGGTCTAGAACATACAGATTTAAATCAACTTAAAAGGTTTATTACTCCATTAATATTTATTTTACTGTTAATTTCATTTTATGTTTCCTTTACAGTCACTGATTGATGTAAGTCATGGAAGACTATAAATTCTTATTTAAAGTTGTTCTTGTTGGAAATGCCGGTGTAGGAAAAACATGTTTAGTAAGAAGATTTACACAAGTAAGTACTCTAGCTAATTATAATATTTTAAGCTATTTAGCCTATTCTCCCAGAAATGCTGTTTGAAAAGTATTGCCATTCCCCATAATTTTTTTTTATCCAAAAGAAACATCCCAATGAACGATCAAACTTTACCTATATTCGACATTAGTTAAAAATTTGTTCAAAATTTAGAAAAAAATTTAATTTTAAGTGTTGAAATGTCATTTGTTTACATTGTTTCTCATCTTTCAGATTCTTTTCATGTCTTCATTCTTGTCTTTTCAGATTTCTATTCGATCCTAGAAGTTCAATTAATTTTTTTAACTCCCAAGATCATTTATTTAACTGTTCAAGATCGAGATAATAACTCTCATTTAATTCCAGAATAAGTAGGATAAACGTAGGAGCTAAAAAAATGTGTGTCTGAAGGTTTAGTTCATTTCTTCACCTCATCAGTTTTTATAATTTTGGCTAGTCCTGCTTTCCTGCCATCAATTATCTTTCCACCAATCACAGGCTAAACTAACATCATAATTTCATTAATCTGATGAATATTTTTAATAATGTCATATGTTTAAACGTTGGGAGTATCAAACAGATAAGATATTTAAAAAAATTAGTTTTTTAAATTCATCTATTTAGAACTTGTTAAATTCTTAATTGTTTCTATACATCGCTTTTTGAAAAATATGAAAGCATATCATTTTTATGCTTGTTATTTGTTCACCAACTTTTCATTCTAAGATAAATTACAATGATACAGTTGCCTTTATTTCAAAATAGGATTATTTAGTTCAATAGGAAATCCCACAAAATTGGATGTGGATACTATTTTAAAAATATTTTTACTTTATTATCTCAATGAATATTTGTGGCATGTTCTACTTTTTAATCATGACATTCTCTTCATTATTTTTTATTTCTTTAAATAAACATATTCTTGTAAAACTGAAACCAAAATTTAATGAGTAAATTTGAAAGGTAATTCATGATTTTTTAAGAAGATTATTACGACTTTTAATTTTTACAAAAAGCTTATCTAAATTGACATTTTCTGGGAGAATGACCCATATCACTTTACCGTTTTATCCATTTATTATCTTTACCTTATTTTCTAATTTAATAATTATTCTGTTTCTAGTATCTAGGGACCCTATATAATGTATTGCTTTTGGATGTAGTGCAGATCGTTAATTTTGGATTAAGAGTAAAGTATTTTTCTAAGGGTAGATTTCTTTTACCTCTCTCCAATCCTAGATTTTTTTTTATTAGAGAGATTTTTTTTTTTTTTTTTAATCTATTTATTGAATAATAATACATGCAGCCACTGCTGGAGGGCTATAAGCATTAGGGCTAAAAGTTCTCATTCATACAATATATACAAATAATAAAGAAATAAATATAAATATAAGAAGTAAATAAATAATACTGATGAAGAAGATAAATAAAAAGAAAAGAAAAAAATAATAATAATAAACAAATAAAATAAAATAAAAACTTCTAAACACAATCATAACTATATACAATATATACATTCGCCCAAGAATCTCCGAACCAGGCTTTTTCCCCCACACGTGGAAGGCAAAGCAAGACTCCGGAAGATCCCAGCGCCACTTTTCCAGCCGCATCACTAGTATTAAAAGCCAGTGGAGACTGAAAGAGGGCACTAGAGCCACAGACGCTCAGGACATGAGTGGAGAAGCTGGCCATTGCCAGGACTCCAAAGGCATATTTACAAAAGATCTCGAGGCCACTGCCGTTTCAACCTTCGAGGGGGATGGTATGGATGCTCGGAGCTGGATAGGGATTGGGATGATGTATGAGGTTCTGGTGAAAGTTGGAGAATCTGGATGGGATGATGTCATGGACATATGGGATGTTAAGGTCATGGTGTAGGGTCTTGTTCGTGACATAATATGGAGCATTGACTATTATTCGAAGGACTTTAGACTGGAAGGATTGGATGCATTTGATATTCGATGATTTAGTTGTCCCCCACAGCTCAAGTCCGTAGGTCCAGATAGGTTTCAGTATGGTCTTGTAGATTAATAATTTGTTTTCTGTTGAGAGATGAGATGTTCTGTTTAGTAGTCTATATAGCTGACCAAATCGTCGGTTAAGCTCTTGTCTTTTAAGTCTCGTATGTGGGTTCCAAGTCAGTCTTTTGTCCAGAAGGAAGCCAAGGTATCGGACTGTGTCTGAGTAGGGAAGAGGAATTGAATTAAAAAGGATTGGCGGACAGGATCTGCGTCGAAGAGTGAAAGTTACATGTTTACATTTTGATTCATTAATTTTGATGCGCCAGTTGTTGCACCACTGCTCAATGAAGGAGAGGTGTCTTTGCAGGTTCCGGGACACAATTAGAGGATCCGAGTGGGAGGATAGGATGGCAGTATCATCAGCAAATGTTGCTAGGAAGGTATCAGGACTTGAAGGGATATCAGCGGTAAAAAGGATGTAGAGAACTGGGCCCAAGACACTGCCTTGTGGGACACCAGCCTCAATTGGATAATGTTTGGAGAGTTCAGTGCCGCAGCGGACTTGAAAGGTAGGATTTGAGGACTAGATACAAGGGTTGAGGTAAATGGGTTTTGAGCTTGAAAAGCAAGCCATCGTGCCACACCCGGTCGAAAGCTTGAGCTACGTCCAGAAAGGCACCAGTGCAATATTGCTTGTTTTCAAGTGCAGAGGATATGTGGTCCACAACGCGAAGGCCTTGTTGGACAGTGGAGTGTCTTGAGCGGAATCCAAACTGATGGGAAGGGATATTGTGGGATTCAAGTATGGGTAGGATGCGTTTGAGAAGGATTTTCTCAAAGATTTTGGAAAGGATCGGAAGTAAGCTTATCGGTCTATAGGATGATGTACAATTAACAGGTTTACCTGGTTTAGGAAAGAGGATAATTATGGAGTGTTTCCACACCAGAGGAAAGTGGGTTGTGCGGAGGATACAGTTGAATAGGTATGTAAGGAATATAATTGCTTTTTTGGGAAGTTGTCTGAGGATCTGGGAAGTAAGGAGATCGTGTCCTGGAGATTTGCGAGGTTTTAGGTTCTTTAAAAGGAATTTGACCTCAGAGGGGTTGACGGCTGTAGGAGGTAAGGAGAGAGGAATCGGTGAAGAGAGGAATTCTTTAACTTCAGCAGTATGGGAGGGATGGAGTTCAGGATGAGGAGTGAATGTGTACGATAGATGTTTAGCAAACTCTTCTGCTCTATTCTCATCTGACGAAGCCCAGGAACCATCATCACGGCGGAGGGGGTGGGAAATGGATTGGAATTTAAGGATTTTTTTAGTTACATTCCAGAGGGAGTTATCACTTGCAGATAGTGAGGAAAGATAGGAATTATAGGATTGGGATCTAAACGTAGCCAGTTTTTGTTTTACCTGCTTGGAATAATAGTTATATGATTTCCGATCATCAGGATGCCTGGTTCTTTGCCAGATGGTCCTAGAGCATCGTTTTCTATTAATAAGGTCCAGTAGGTCTTGGGGTAGAGGATTTATTTTGCGGTATTTTTTAGAAGGATAAGGTGAAGATGCAGTCCAAACTGCTTGTTGGATCAAGGTAGTCATGGAATATACTGCTTCATCTAGGTCTGCGGGTGTTTTTAAGGAAACTCTGAGGTCAATATTATCATCCAGTATTTGACGGAAGAGGTTCCAATTAACTGGCCCCCTGATAAATGAAGGTGGAGGTGGTTTGGGAATTGGTGATGTGGAGACCGTTAGGATTAGGGGACTATGGTCTGAGGAAAGATCATCAAGTCTTGAGATGCAATAATGAAGGGACCCTAGACCTTTGTGGATGAAAAAATCTAGGAGATCGGGATTGCGGTTAGGATCTGTTGGCCAGTATGTGGGAGAATTGGGTGAGAGGATGTTGCTGTGATGGGAATTAAGTGCAGATAGCAATGTTCGTCCTCGGGAATTTGTGGTTCTGGCTCCCCATTGCTGGTGTTTAGCATTTAAGTCTGCACCTAGAAGGAAGTGGTGTCCTAAGGAGTTAAGGAAGGAAGTTAATTGGGATTCTGAGATGGGTATTTTAGGCGGGGAGTATGCTGCGACTACTGCTATTGGGTAAAGGGAAGTTTGGATTATCACGGCAGTGGATTGTAGGAAATTATGGGTTAGCAAAGGGAATAGATGATGGGAAAGGGATTGATGGATAATTATGGCAGTGCCAGCATGTGCTGTTCCATCAGGATGGTCGGTTCGATAGATATGATAGTTGGGGATGTTAAGTGGTCGTTTGTTGGTAAGTCGAGTTTCAGTTATTAATGCTATATCAATGTTTTTGTCCTGTAATAAGATTGTTAGTTCGTTGACGTGATTTCGAATACCATTCGCATTCCAAAGGAGAACGGAGAGGGATTTGATTGGGGACATTTAAGGATTTCTCGACAGTGGGATGAGGTTGGATACAACATTGGTAAGCAAGGAAATGAGAGGAGTGATGAGTGACCTGAATTCAGAGAGGAAAGAAGTCAATAGGCTTGTGAGGTCAGTGGCATTGGGAGGAGGAGGAATGAATGTCTGGTTATTAGGCCTAGGTTCAGAGATGGGATAAGGGTCTTGTGGTTGAGATGTGAATACTCGAGGTTGAGGTTCTTGTGGCAGGGCCTGAGTTTGTGTGGGTGCAGTGTCTCCTTTGAACATCTGAGCATAGGACACTCTTGTATTTACAGTTCTAGAGGGTTGTCTTGGTGGCCTGGATGGCCGTTCTTCTCTTGGAGCTGCATAAATTCTTGCTTTCAGTTCCTTATATGTTTGGCAACCCTTGTAGTTCGCTGGGTGCCCTTGGTGGCATAAAGCGCATACTGCTGGTGTTCTTCTGGACTTCTGGCAGTCCTCAGTTTTATGTTGATCACCGCACCTGACACATCTAGGAATGTGGTGGCAATAGCGTTTCGTATGACCATAAGCCTGGCAGTTATGGCATTGTACAATGTCGCGCTTAGTGTAGGGCTTTTCTACAACAACGCTAGTGTAATAAAGGCGTGTGACCTTGTAGATTTCTTCGACCTGGGGCGTTCGGTCAAGGTCAACGAAGAATAGTGGGAGCGGTATTTTATTTTTTGTACCAGGCTGTTCTCTATCTTCCTTGAATATATTCACTATTTGTCGAACACGGAACCCCATCTCAGTTAGTTCTTCTTTAATGGCATCCAGCGGTGTTGATGGGTGTAATCTCCTGATCACCACCCTGAGCGCTCTCTCTTGGCGCAGTTGATATGTGTGATAATCCGCCTTAGTGTCAGATAAATACTTGACAATTTTTCTGTACGTATCTGGGGTGTCAGGCATTAATTTCGTGTCATTAGTGCGGCTTTGGCATACGTATTTACCTGAGCCCACTATATTATTTAATTGTTGACACATTAATTGGAAATTTTTTATATTTCTAACGAATATTGGTGGAGGTTTAGGTTCACTAGGGATGGGTACTGCTTCCATTTGTTCATTCTGTGTGTTTGACAGCACTTGGAATGGATTAGCTGTAAAAAAAGGCGATTCTTCTAGCGTACCTTGTATTGGTATAACTTGTGTTGACATATTTTGTGATGATGTGCCAGGTTGATTTTCAACTTCGTCAACTGAGCTCTCTGGTGTAGCTGGCGGGGTATTTTTTTTAGAGCGTCTAGCCCTTTTCTTGATGGGTGAACTCTTTGTGGTATCGAGACTCCTAGATCTTAAAGTTCGATTGTTACCTTTGCTCGACATTACCATATGAAAATAGCGCATCTCATATTAATTTAATTAGAGGTAACTGTAATAATTTGAAAAAAAAAAAATGTCCTTTATCAATTACGTATATATTACGCGAGTTTGTAGAAGTCTAAGTAACGTAGATCTGCTTCTGCCAAAGGGCAGCAGCCCACTGGTCGGATTAACGAATGTATATGGCCGGCTTGTTATCTATCACTATCCTCAGGTCTATTTACACTGTTCACAATGCCGTTATAAATAAGTGATTACTCACCTTGTTTATGTCCAGTTTCAACTTAATTGTTAACTTAACAGTTTACACTACTTTTTCACATATAACATGAATTATTTCACTGTTAATAAAGTCACTTAATAAGAGACGAAATAAAGAGTATATGTGTAAGGTTAACGCATGCGCAGAACTCGATTAGAGAGATTTGAAAGTACATCTGAATATTTAAACTATAAATGATTATGGATTGTAGGACTATTAGTTATTAAACTGTTATTTTCCATTGTAAAGTTTACTAAAATGAAATTACGAGATTTTAATTACCAGCCATGGATAGGTCAAAAGTTGTCACACTTAATGTAAGTGGATAATATTGGGATTCCACAAAGGGGAAATTCATCAAATTATTCACTAATTGAATTTTCTAAAAGGTTACTTGATTATTTTTTGGAATAAACGGCCAATAGATACCTAATTATTTAAATATAATATCATATCTAGAGTTATTAAACTACAGCAAATGTGTTTAAGGACATAAACATATCCATGAAATGCTTTTATATTTTACTTCTTCTTTCACACAAGTACAATTAAATAATGTTTTAAATAATGGCATTGACATGATTCGGTGGATTTTAAATACTTTTTTTCAAACTCAGAAATTTTTTGAAAAGTTTACATTTAGTAAGAAAATTGTATTTAATTTCATTGGAAACATGTGATTTATGTTAAATAATGTTGGTTTTCTGAAATTATTATTTCACTCTCCGTTACCTTCTGCAACTTTATTTATTTGATATTATTTTTTCTAAAATTCTCTGCTTTCTAATGATATATTTTATGTATACTTTCTGACTATTATTTCCGGAGATTCATTTTCAACCTGGATAAGCATTTTTCTTTTTTTTCTCCAGTTTCCAATTATCATATTCTTTCAAACTTCACATTTAGCCAATTTTTATAGTTATTGTCAATAGAAAAGCATTATTTTTTTTTAATAAACCGTATTAAAGGTACTTAAGAGGAAGACTTATATGAACATTGGGTATTAAGTGACATCGATGGGGATAAGACCAAAATGATATTAAAGACCATTTAATTATACAATGATACACAGAGTTTAATCAAAATTGCTTGAGCCGTTTTTGAGAAAATTGTAAAAATGTGTTTCACCTTTGATAAAAAGTGGAACTTTCGGTTAGCCGATCGTAAGGAAAATGTTGCTGTCACATTTGAGGCATATATCTATCTTAAATACGTTATATCAGTTACCTACTACTTTTCATTTTTCAGCTAGACTGACCACATACATACATACACACACACACACACACACACACACACACACACACTATTTTGCGGGACTTGGTTATTTGGTCTCAGGAGATCTCAAAACATGTATTTCCGTTGAAAACTCAGAAATTTTTCATTCGAAATACGAATCGAAAATTTTCACAATCGCAATACTTACTCTTACTATATATTTCATATATAGGTAAGTAAAAGTAAAAAAATGGGGGGGGGGAGTATGTATTGCTGGTTTTATATGATTTATAACATAGGTGAAAAGAATTAGCATTAATTACTGAAGTGACTTAACAAATCAATTAGACATATCTTTGAATTTTTTTTTAAGAACTTGTAAGAGAATATTCAAATAACACAATTAACTTATTGAGATTAAAAAGTAATTATGTATCTATTTTTGTAAATTCAAAATAAAGTTGTTGAAAAATAATGTAATTCTATAGGTTTGGATTGGTAGTACATTCCTACTGTTTATTTTGGGGTGTTTGTTGAGACATCTATTGAAAACATTGTGAAGCTTTTATTTAAAGAAAAATAATGTTTACAATTATTTCTGTATTTAAAGAAGTTTACCATTTTTTGATGGTTATTGAAGCTAGACTAAAGTTCTGAGCACTAATTCTGGTTTCTAAGTCAAAAATATCTCTGTTTGCAAGAAGATATATATTTTTTATAATTTAATAATTATTTCTGTTTAAACTCTTCTTCTTCTTTTCCGGCGCTATAGCCCATCAATATACCTTGGCCTCCTCGATCCGCTTCCACCAATCCTCCCTATCCAGTGTGGCAGCTTTCAAGTTCCGGGCATTTAACAAATTTCTTGAACTAAAAGTATATTATATCAATTTTTCAAGTGAAAACTATAACTAATATTTGTTTTAAACTAAATGCTAACAAACTTTTTTATACAGTGTTAATAATGTTCAATATATATTCTTACTTTTTAAATTGGTGGATAATTTATTTTTAACTTTGCAGCATATAATTATGTTTGACGACCTTAAACTGCTTTGCAGATGCTTCCACCAGTATACTTATACAGTTTTTTCTAGTTCCACCTTCCACTTGACATCTATATTTTTCTTTATGATAAAATAACATAGTTTCCAATTTACCATTGAGTATTAATTGGATCTTTTTTCAAGGATATGATTTATTAAATACTAATAATATGGTTAATTATGTCCTAATATTTATTTTTAGGGTTTATTTCCTCCAGGCCAAGGTGCTACTATTGGTGTGGATTTCATGATTAAGACAGTGGAAATAGAAAATGAAAAAGTCAAGGTATTTATTTCAGATTTTTTAAATTTATAATTAACTAATTTGTCAGTGCAGTGGCTCTGGAATAAATCCTGATTTTTATCAGGCTATAGACCATATTTGACTAGCATATTATTATATTAGAAATGTTGACACTTTTCTATTTTTATTCAATAGGAGTTTATATGTAAAACTAAAAATTTTATATAATATTGTTTAAAATATTTTTCAGTTTCCTTAGTTTTCATTTAGGCAGGTTTACCATTCCAATGTTATATAAAATTTTGTTTTGTAATCAGTATTTTTTTCTGCCATTTTTGAATTAGTTGTTACAGAAATTTCTTCTTTTTTTTTTTCATTTTTTAAAGTCTGTTTATGAAATGTTTGGTACTATTGGATTAGAAAAATATGGACATTTTTATTGTTATAACCTAATCTTTACCAAATGAATAAAAATTGAAAATTCATGCTAGTGCACAATTTAATATGTAAATAAAAAAAATTCTAGTCAGGGTAATCCAGATTTCAGATATGCAAGAGTTCTGATTTACTTTAATTTAGAAATTAATTTAAAAGTTAGACATTAATGGTTTTATTTATTGACTTCTTTCAGCTTCAGATATGGGATACAGCTGGTCAGGAGAGGTTTCGTTCTATTACCCATAGTTATTATAGATCTGCCCATGCTTTAATATTAGTATATGATATAAGTTGCCAACCTACATTCGACTGTTTACCTGATTGGTTGAAGGAAATTGAAGAATATGCTAGTAGCAAGGTTTTGAGGGTCCTTGTTGGTAAGTTTCTTGTTAATCTTGAATAAATGTATAATGTTGAATAAATTTTCAACAACGATCAATATAATAAAATAGACTATTTATTGTATTATACCAGTATATTTATAAAACTATAGATGTAATAATCAACAAAACAACAGTTGTGGATAATGTTATGTAACTCGTTCATGGGTCAACTAAGTTATTTCCAACTGTATGAATGGTCATTTACCCAATGTTCCTGCCCTATGTTAGTGAGAATTTATACTTCTTGAAGTTATTTCTGATTTAAATATTAGTACTTTTCTTATTTCATAAGACTGTTCTTAATGACTATCAAATGTTCTACATAGATGATAAGACTGAGCTATAAGAATCAAGTAGTCAATCCTCTGCTTCTTTAGAACTGATGATGAATGACCTATAGGATGGAAAATTAAAAAACTAACTAGTGTGGTTGAGTGGTGTCATTCAACCACATGCCTAATCTAGGATAAGTTAATTATATGCCTTATTGATTATATAGAGGTATTCATCATGTATTTTGTTTGTTCGTTGATTTTTAATGTTTTTGATTTTTTTAAATTGAAAGTTATACCTTTATTTGATAAAATACAGGTTAAAATGCTAGACATGTAATAGTTGATGACATGCTAACCAAATACCTGTTTATAAAGTATGAAATAGTATGTCGATTCAATTGAAGCATCACAAATGTCGACATATCTATTAACTGTTATTACCTCTTTAACTCTTTTAATTAGTTCAAATGCTTCACTTTTGATTACATTAAACTTGCAGAAGACTAAATTTTTTATTTAAGCTAGGGAAGAAGTTTAATGTTTTATCTTTTATTAGCAATTCATGCTGAATTTTCATTTCATTCTAACTGAAAATATAATACAATGCAGTTAAAATAATACAAATACAACGGTATAGAAAGGTAACTTATTTTTTAATTTTTTGGATAGTTTGTTCAAAGTTGGACATCATTGTTCTAATTTAATTATTTATAATTTGTGTAATAATCTCATGTTATTCCTGAAATATTTTTGTTTCAGGCAATAAAATTGATAGAGATGATCGTGAAATTCCTACACATGTCGGTGAAGATTTTGCTCAAAGGCATAATATGTACTATTTAGAAACATCGGCTAAGGAATCTGATAATGTGGAAAATTTGTTTGTTAAAATTGCAACAGAGCTCATGGAGGCAAGATTATTTACCATTCTCTAATTTTATTTTGAAAGAATTTTTAGTGATAAGTTTTTAAAAAAAATTATTTAAAATCATTATTATTATTATTATTATTTGAGCTTTCTTATGGTATTCACACTGTACTGTTTGACTTTTTATGATTACAATGCAATTTAACTGATAATATCTACTATTTCATTCAGAAATAGTAGCCTCCTCAACAATCCCTGTCTAATCCTCCCTCCCTATTAGCAGCCTAGTTTCTTCATTGTCCAATTATTGTAAAAGAAGAACAAAGGAGGGAGATGGGAGAAAAAATTAGTAGAATATGGACAAAAAAGAAAAAAGGCTAGAAATGGTATACGCGTGGTCCTTAGTTGGCCTGTATCGTGATAAATGAACATATAATTAAAGCATTAGTCAACAAGCACTTTTTATCATCAAATTAGTGAGGGATGCAGTATTTTTTAGCTTAAAGATAAGTTTAAGTAACATAAAATGATATCTTATATTGGAGAAAAATCTTAACAACTCTTTAGCTACTGAGAACTGATTGCTATATAGTGGTGCTTAAAGAATACCCTATCACCCTTACTTGCCATTTTAGTTCATGGAAATACACTTTTGTTTTTACATCTTTTTGTAAATGTATTACAGATCCTATACCTGCTCTTGTAGTTACACAGAGTGTCTCAGTTCTTAATGGCCAAATTCTGGGAACTTATTCTAGACAAAATTTCCAACAAAGAAGTTCAATTGATGCATGGGCCGAATCCGAATGGAAAAGTAGTTAAGACTAATTTTGTTCGATCATGTTATTTATAGAATAAGAAGGAGTTGCTCAATAACTGTTCAAGATAATTAAATTCTAATTACACCATCGTAAAGTAGACAACATTTTTTTTCGAGAAAACAGTGATTAAATTTAATAAGGTCAATGGTAAAAGGGACTTTTAGGAGGTCTAATACAGCCGCTGAGTAGTGATATGCTGCTCGTATATGGGTACTGTAACTGCAGTAGTACAGCAGCCTTTTTAAACCTTCTGGAAGTCCTTTTTTATCATAGATCTTAGTTAATTTAATCACTGTTTTCTCAACAAAAAAAAAATTGTCTACTTTACGATGGTGTACTTAGAATTTAATTATCTTGAAAAATTTTTGTTATCTTGAACAATTTTTGTGCAATTCCTTCTTATTCAATAAAGAACATCACCACACAAAATTGGTGTTGACTCGTTTTCCTTTCGGAATCGGCCCATGCACGAAATGAACTTTTTGTTTGAAATTTTGTCTAGAATCACTCCCCAGAGTTTGGCTATTAAGAACTGAGACACACTGTTTATTTTAGTGTTTTGTCATCTTATACAGTTAACTCATTTTTTTTTATACCCAATTTTTGCTTCCTCACTACCGAAGGTAGGGAAGGGGAAGCTTTGTACTCGTGTTGAAGGTTTACAAATTTTTTTGTGTTCAGAATTGAAACTTTCCATTCGCATATTACGTTTCAGACATCCAGGATCAAATATAGTTCAGTTTCTGTCTGTAGTCAAAGTGATGTGACAGGCATATCACCTACTTCCATTTATCCGATTTTCATGGAATTTTCAGGGATTGTGCGGGTTGGTGCCTTGATGGTCCCATATCAATTCCATTAAATTCCACATAGTACTTCTGGTTGCGCATGCGCAAATGTATTTCCTTAGATATGCCAATATTTTAGAAATGGCTCGTTTGATTTGGCTCAAAGTTAAAAGAAAGGTGAGAATTAGTAAAATTATGATACTGTATTAATTTTATTAAATTCAACCCCTTACTTTCTCTTTTATATGCAATAAAGTATTTTCCTTGATACGATGATATTGCAAAAACTGCACCTTTGATTGATATGGCCCAAATTAGGATGGAAGTTAGGGATTGATAAATAAAAGATCAGGTAGGAATCAATTTCATCAAATCCTATCCAAAACTATAAAATCATGGTTTCCTCTCTCATCTTCCCTCACTTTGACTACAGCTGTGTGGTGTATGATGGACTCTTGGTAGAGCTCCGTGACAGACTGAAAAGATTAATGAACAGTTGTGTGAGATTTGTAATTGGTGCCCCGAGATACTACCATGTCTCTCACCACTACACTGAGTTAGAGTGGCTCTTCCCCTCCATTCGAAGACAATATTTGCTAGGTACATTCCTCTATCATATCATCAACAATCATCGTCCTTCTTACGCCTACAACCTTCTCCAATTCAAATCCTCAGTCCACTTCCTTTTCACAAGATCTCGACCTTCCGACCTTTACATTCCTTCTCACAGATCTGCCTTGTTCCAAAACTCCTTCATAGCTCGCTCTGTTCTACATTCAAAACCCTCCTATTCCAATTCCTGTCCCAAAAACAGTCAGATACTCGCTAACCTTTTATGTAAAATTACATATTATTCATAATAATGTATTTACATATAACTTATAACTGAAATACTTATTAGCAGATTCGACTTTTTTTTTATTTTTTCTAAAAGTGTATATTTATATGTTACAATTGTAAGTAGTTTTAATTGTCTTGGCAAGGTTTCAAGAGTTTTGTATATAGATTTTATTTTTATTTTGTATATAGTATGTAAAACTAATATTTTCTTTACTGATTTAGCTTTACCTTTACTTTTTATGTTTGTTTTTATTTGCCCAGATACAACATTTTAATTTTGAAATTTTTTGTTATTCTGAAGGGACTTCGTCCCAGAATAAAATTATTTTCTATTCTATTCTATTCTAAAAAAAATACTTCTGCTTTCGGATTACTGGGGTCACTTTTCGAAAGTGGTTTTTCCCTACTATTTTATTCACATATAAAATATTATTGATCTTGAGATATAGGTAAGTGTTGAATCAATGAAAATGGTCAGGAAGCTATACTGGCCTCACTTGGTGGGCATTTTTAAAATATATTTAGGAAAGAGTGCAATTCACTCATTCATGGTATTGATTTCCCATGCTATATTTTGGTAAATATCACATCATAAGCCATATTTAAGATAACTGTCCTTTTTTTAGTTAGTCTTTATTTATATATATAAAAAAAGAAAACTTTTAATCCACCTCTGCCAGACTAAAGTTCATTTGAAAAAGGTTTATAGAATACACTAAAACAATTGTGAATATACCCAAAAAGGTTATAATTAAACTATATTAGTATGCACAGCAACCGACCTTGACTTGCATTCTCCCCATACCCACAAAACGCTCAAACTATTCAATTAGTTTAAGATTTATAACTATGTAATTTACTAATTATTTAATGTTACATCTGAAAAAAAAATGCATAGACTCTGTTTACAGTCAATTAATATATAATTTTTTTTTCCACTCTTTATTTACTATTCGTTTATTAATGGATTTGAAAACATCTATTATCTTATTATTTTATTTTTTTTATTGAATAATAATAATAGTTTGTTATCATTAATAATTTAGTTCATACTTTCATTTTCAGCAAGCAAAAAGCAAAGAACTGCCCCGATATGATGAAATTAATTCTCAAAATATCAACAGAAGAACTACTTCAATTGATGTCACGTGTTGTGGAAACTAATAACCTATATTTGATTTAATTTTGTTTATAAATGTGATTTTATCTCATGAGCACAGGTTTGGGAAAGATAATAATTATTGAATGAAACAATACTTATAACTCACTATCTCAACTTTTTAATTGTTTTCATATTTTACCCATCACTCATGTTTAAAACTACTTCAACAGAGTAGTTTCTTTTCTTCATTGAAGTTTTGTGTATCCTATATTTAATGTTTAATTAAATTTATTATATTTAACAAATCAATCCATAATTCAATTAATTTATGAGTTATTTTTAATTAATGTTATAGTTTTATAAAAGATACATAATTTTTGTAAAAGAGGAATTGAAATTAAAACATAGTTATATCATATTTGGCATTAATAATATTTTTATAAAACTTGATATTTTATTCCAAGTTGAATATGAAATTTTCTGAATTTCACTTTGCGGTATCTTGAAATGTAATGTAACAGAAAGATCTTGTACAATTATTGACAAAAAATGCACATAGTTTTACTAATTTTAATGTGGAATTTGTAAATATTTACTGTTCTATATTTTCAGAAAGTGTAATATGTTCAGAATTTATCAGAGAACTTATTTAATAATTTTATTCTCGCAAGCTCATATGAAAATATTATGCTTCATAGATAAGAAAATTTTTTTGATAAACAATTAGAATTATTTATTGAAATATTAATAAAAAAAAACTCTTTTATGCTCCTTAATTGTTCACTATTGCGGGTTTTGAGGATTTTTAATATATTTATTTATTTTATATTAAACCATATGGTTTAAAGTATTACAAGAATATTTATAGCAATCAATCTAAATATTTATTTTAAAGTAATTACAATTTTTGTTATTTTTTATTGTTCTTTTATTTATTGTTTCTGTTTATATCTGTAACTGCATTTTTGTCCTAAAAGTTAATTATTGCAGTACTAATAATTTAACTAATTATTATTTTTTAAAAATAAATGTGTTAAAATATAATATTTTGTTTATACTCTTATGGTGATCAATATTTATTTGTTCATATACATATCAGTTGTATCACTAATGCTGTTAAATAATTGATAATGTGCAAAATGGTCCAGTATTTGTATGTACGCACGCAGGCATGTGCACACACAGATCCATCAATAAATAAACGGTAAAATATATAGAACAAGCTTTACAAATAAGACTCTTATATTAAGGAGTCTAATTTAATAGTTAGATGTAATGAATATCAATTTCCAACAATTGGATATGGTATGAAATCAACATTTATACCATTAAACTTCTCAGTAGCGGACAGCTGCGGGAAAATTAAATTTTGTCTACTATAGAGATATGTTTGGAGAAACTGAAAGTATAAGATTAAAAAAAAATAAAAATTAGCAGATTACAATTGTATTTTATAAGTAATATGCAAACATGCAAGAAATATTCCCAGCAAAGGATTCTAATCTGGCCCTCACCAACTGTGGTGCAAATGAAGCTCTACGGATGCCTGGATGATCTTAGGAGAGTTATCGAATTCTTCATAATGGATCCTGACCTGGCCATCTTAGGGAATAATAAAGAAGAAGAAGTCATATAAATGAAAGTGTTTATTTAGAATTGACTGTTGACTTTATAAGGATTTAAAATGGTCAGGATGTGCAGTCAAAAAATTAAGTTTATTGACAGATTTCCTTTTATCTTCATGGAGGTGTGGAAGACTCAGGGACCACGAAAATGTATTGCCACCTTACATATGTAGCCGTGTATGATTGTTCATAATGGTAACGCAAATGCTGGAGGATTAAGGCATGAACTTGGCAAAATCATTCATATGTTACTTGATTTACTGCGAAAATTGGTTTTAGGTAATTATTTTTTGTATTGACATTTCTGTCTTGGTCCCATTTAACTCATTTTCTTTTCTTTAAAATATAACAAACCTATTTTTAGTTTTTCAAATTTTTAATCAAGCAGCTAAATGTAAGTAACAAGTTTTTTATGTACATAAAATGTTGACAATCAAATTTGTATAATTAATAAAAATAGGTTAAAACTGTCACCCCTATTTCAAAATCTAATGCGTAGTATACATAATTGAACTAAGCTACTATAAATTGGATTAATTTTCTCATATCAGCATCGCTGGCTTCCTGCTGTCCGTTTTACAGAAACTTTTCTATCCAAATTGTTGAAGAAAGCCTGTACAGTTATTAAGTAGCTTAATCTCTTTGCTGGTAGATGGTGCTGAGGCTGGCGGCGTGTCCCTAGCTTGAGGTATCGAGGCTCTATTTGATAACATTGAAGAGGATCCCATTGTTAGCATAAGAAAGAGAAACAGGATCAAAAGGTCGAATTAACACCAAGATAAAAGAATAATTTCTAGCTTATTGAATTATAATTTATTGACCTAATTCCCAATTAAAATAATTATGTTAAATTATAATACACTTAAGGTCAATTGGAGAATTTTGTACTATTATATATAAATATAAGATTATAAATTATTTAATATCACAGTTTTTTGTTATAAATTGACTGAATTTTTATTTTTTAAAATTCTTCTTACTTATTGTTTTAGCAACAATGAGTAGGCAAAAATTCAAAAGAAAAGGTCAAGTGCTGAAAATTAAATGTGCAGATTTATATCTGTACACTTCACAGATAAATAATAATTTACATTGCTCTAATTTAATAAAGTTCTAATGGCTTTGTCAATTTAAAGTACTCTAAACTCAGAAATATTATTTTTTCTCAGAGATTTATCATTAAGATTCAGTGGTAAGTTGGAGTATCAAATATTGATTTAATTGGCTACTAAGCCCAGTGAAATTAGTACAAAAAAGAGGTATAGCTAGCAAAAGAACGAGTAATTCTAATTTCTTTTTTATATTTTTAGGTATGTAGTGAATATAATCCAAGTTTTCCCCCTTGAAAGCCTTGTGGGTTCCCTGCGTAGCACAGTAAAATTAGCACAAAAAAAAGGGGGTCTACCTTGCAAAAGGTCGGGTAGTTCAAATTTCTTTTCTATATTGCTAGGCATATAGTGAATATAAAAAATCCAAGTTTCTGCTCTTGAAAGGCTTGTGGATTCACTGCATTGCTCAAAAAACTAATGAAATTTTGAACATTTTTTGGTTTGCTCCAAAATATTCCTTTTTACAGAGAGATAGATAAAAAATGGTTATATTTAATCTTAAACAGCTTATTATTATCTAATATTTTTATTTCAACCCAACAGGAAGCAAACTATTGAGCTTTCAAATGGGTAAAGTTTTGAAAATTCGCCAAAAACATTTTTTGTTTTTATAGGTGACTTTGATCAACATTTTAAATTAAATATCAAAACACACACAATTTACTTCAGCTCTTATAGGAAACATTTTTTTAAACTTAAATAAAAATTGCTAATAAGAAATTGATGTTTTGAAACTAAAAAATTCTTATAATTTTTTTTTTTACTTATTTTAATGACATTGGTCATCTACAATTGCTGCATTTCTTGTTACTTTTACTGCCACATTTATGCCATATCATTCAATACTAATAAATGGCTTAGTCATAGTGCTATACAAGAATATAGGAGTAAAAAGAAAAAATGTTTTTGGACAATTAAATTATTGTATTAATATTTGTTCGTTAATACAATCAAAATAATGTACTAAAAACGTTACCATACCATTTATGAGTACTGAATGATGTGGCAGAAGATTCTAGGGGCATATGGCAGTGCTGTTTTTTTCAGAAATTAACTGTATTTTATAGGTAACAGCTTCACATATTTTTTAATATTTTAACGTTTTATTATTCTCTAACTATCCAGCTTTAATAAAATGCCAATTATGACGAAATTAAGCTAAATGCTGATTCTGAGTGACCGAAAAACTAACTCTAAGTCAAAGACCTCTATCCACCATGTTTGGAAATTTTGGGACTGCAGCCACTTTTTGTGGGAGCATTGCCTTTTTTTTTTAAATAAATAGTTACAAGAAAAACAACTATATGCAATGTATAGGGATGTGGAGGGCGGGTGCACTGTGGGGGGGTTTTGGCTCCATCGTGTAAAGTGGTTCTAAGATGAGTTTAAGTGTAGGCGAAGGAAGTTCCACCTCCCAAAACCCTACCATGAATTTATGTCCGTTCATACTTACATTTTGGTCTGAGGGTCGTTGTTTTCCCCAGCCCAGTTTATTTGACATAGTAAACGAAAATTAGCGAAGAAATGATAAGAAAATTGATAAAAGAAATTTCTAGTCGTAACAAAAATTGTAGAAGTACGTACACATGAGTAATGAAGATTGCTGATTTTAAAGAATGGGGGATCGGCGGGAAAATGCATCTCTCTTCCCCTCTACTTGCCCGAAAACTCATCTTAGATCCATATTTTTAAATATAAATATAGAAACATATTTAACATATATATATATATAATATCTATAACATATTTTTTTAAACACACCTCGTCTACCGTTCCAGTCAATGGCTTATTATGTTCAAGAAAAACCTCCAAATTCGCTGGAAGAGATATAAAATGGAATTATCGAATCTTTCCGTTCAAAACTGATTCATGTTTTTCGCAAATTTTCAAAACTTTACTTATTTGAAAATGAATAAACTAGTTCGCTTCCTGTTAGCTTTTAAAATAAATATTGTGTATAAAAAGTTAGATCATTTTGAGCTATTGAAGATTCAATATAACCATTTTTTATCTATTCGCTTTAAAAAGGAGATATTGAGTGTAAACCAAAAAAAGTTCGATATTTCAATGGTTTTTGGAGCAATGCAACGAATCCACTAGATTCTCAAGGACGGAAACTTGGATTTCTTATTCTCACTACATTCCTAACAATATAAAAAAGAAATTTGAATTACCCGATCTCTTGCAAGGTAATATGTCTAATTTGACAGGACTATAATATAAATTTGTATCTATACTTTATTCAAAGTAGAAGACCATAGTTTAATATTATACACATCATTTTTATTATATCAAAATGTGAAATCAAATAATTTCGTAGTTTTGTGAAAACAGAGCCTGCAAGATGAGCAGCACAAATAAAAATAATTGGGCTATATGAATAGGATACATCGGGTATATGCTACTCTTCCAGCTGGAACTTGGCGAGTTGGTAGTACCATGGGTTGTATAAAGAAATAAAATAGACTTGTTTAAAACCTGGTCCATTCAGATTAAAAATTACCCATTCAGATTTTATTTAATGTTTTAGAATGTACTTCCTTTTTAGATCAATAAGATGAGAATTATTATACTTATTGTCTAAATAAAAGGGAGTATTTTAACATTAACTAGATCCATTTTGATATAATAAAAAAATATATTAGCAGTTTTGAACGGAAAGTATCCGCCTGCTTAGCTGCTTGCCTCACCCAAAGCAGCATTGGTTGGCTGCTATTATCCTTCTTCTTATCTCTTATATGATCGGGGTCATTGCCTTGAGTGACCATAGATCCCACATCAGTAAACTCCGAGACCTCAAATTAATGAAGCCCAATAGTGACGGTCTCGCCTAGCAAGGGAATTTCATCTGCAACTATATATTTTGTTTTGGAGTCATTAACTCCCAGTCCATGTCTGCTGTCAGGACCAGCCAGTGCCACGAAAGCATGAGTCATGACCAGCAGAGAGCGTCCCACAATGTCTATATCAT